TTTTTGTTAACTTTTTAAAAATGTAATTATCCTGAAAGGACTGTGAAGTAAAAAAGAATAATTCATTAACGTGGAAATCGAATCCCGTAGATTTTAACTCAAATTCCGTAGTTGCGTATACAATGACAAAATACCGTAGATCTATGGCAAAATCCGTAGAGTTGGTAACGCTGGTCGATACATTATTTAATTGAATAAATCTTATTTTATAAAATAAAATAGGACAACTTTTATTCAACATACAAACAAATAAAATTGAAGTGTCTGTTTGTAATGTTAAAATAACAGCTTATTACAAAATGCATATAAATGTTTATACGGTACTTATAATAAAAACACAATTTTTAAAAATTTTGTCTGTCTGTTTTTTCGGACTAATCTTCATAACGCCTGAACCTATTTCGACGGGACCTATTTTCACAGGCAGATGGCTGATGTTATAAGGAGTAATTTTAACTTTTATTTTAGAAAAAGGAATTAGGGTTCCGCGCAAAAAATTAAAACCCATGAAATTGTGAACAAAATCCGATTCAAATAGGGATGTACTTGAATCGGAATCAACACAAATCAACTGCTGATCCGATTAAAAATTTATCAGTTCATTACAAAATAATGTACCGGGATGTGAATTAAAGTCACCTAACGCAAATACAGAGTCGACATTTTTATTTTCAATAATACCACTTATCACGCTCATACACGATGTAAATTCTATCCCACCAAAAACATTCTGTAAAAAACTAGCCAAGTCTCGATGGAGCTGCTTGTTTATCTCTAAAAAGTAATGAAATCTAGGCAAAGTCGTGCCAAGTCTAAGGTTCCTTACTGCGATTTCTTTATTATTATAGTTAATGTTGTGTGACTTGGCCGTTGAAGGGTACACAAGAGTACAAAACCAGGTGCTACATGACACCCTTGCACCAATCTGCCGCCAGAACCGCTACCCATTGACGATGGAAAATTCCCACTTGGAAAACGTTGATTGAATAACCAGTCAGTTGTAGGCTTGATAAAATTGCGTATTTCAATAATACTTTTGTATAGGCGAGCCTGAAACAAACAGTATAAAAAATTATTTCCAGTACAGGCGAACGTCGAATCGTTGATAGAAGTCCGTCTGTACGTCTATTTTATGTTAGATCGGTGGTGGATTTGACGCTCCAAAAAGAAGAGAGCAGAAGTCAGCATTGTCAATGCTGAATGCATGTGTTGCACAATCAACAACCGCCTAAAATGAGACACTAGCGTCCAATTACCAATACCAGTATGGGCTATTATCTCGCTTAACAAACATAGGTAGTTACAACAGATATAACATTACGTGTAAACACAATTACTTGCAACATTACGTGTAAACGTAACTTTATCAAGCCTACAATTGACTGGTTATTCAATCAACGTTTTCCAAGTGGGAATTTTCCATCGTCAATGGGTAGCGGTTCTGGCGGCAGATTGGTGCAAGGGTGTCATGTAGCACCTGGTTTTGTACCCTTGTGTACCCTTCAACGGCCAAGTCACACAACATTAACTATAATAATAAAGAAATCGCAGTAAGGAACCTTAGACTTGGCACGACTTTGCCTAGATTTCATTACTTTTTAGAGATAAACAAGCAGCTCCATCGAGACTTGGCTAGTTTTTTACAGAATGTTTTTGGTGGGATTTCACTGCTTTTTGTAGAAACGTGGACACATTGATTTATATTATTAGATTTTCTTATTTGACACATTTTTTTTTCTTTTTAGGTGTAGTTTTTTATTATTACAATTCTTTCTTTTCTTTTTTTTCGGTTCTAATTCTTGTACAGTAGCAACAGTTTTTCGTATTGCCCATTCGCGTTCATTATTTATACTTTTAGACGGTTTAGATGGTTTAATTTCTGAAAGATCGGCGCGGTATTTACGCCTAAGCCGGTTGTATTCGGTGATTGCTGAAGCTTGAGCTTTTATACTCTTGAAGTCAACATTTATGAGGTGCACCCCATGAAGATTGGTTACTCGTGAAAGCGCCACGTAGGCTTGGCCACAAGTGAATATGGAGGTGCCAATGTCCATGAGGGCATTTTTTAGACTTAGACCTTGGCTCTTGTGAATTGTTAGGGCATACGCCACACAGATTGGGAATTGTTCTCTGTACACGTATGCCCGGGGTATGATCTCAAATTTTGACTTAATAGGCAATAATTCGTGAATCAAATTATTAGCGAATTTGACTACCAATTGTTTAGGCTTTGTTCGGTCTTCCGGGTCCCACCTCACTTTTTGTACAACGCCTATCGATCCATTCACTAAACCTAAACTAACATCAATATTTCTCCTAAGCATTACTTTAGCTCCCTCTTTAATAATTATAGTTTCTTCCAGTCCAGCAGTCATCGACGCATCATCTTCATATTTTTGTAAACACGCCCGAGCTTTCGTTATCATACATTTTGAACAATCCAAGGAGTCTTTAGCAACTAACTTCATCTCGGGGTGCGGAATCGCTTTTAACATAGCATCATTTAACTGCATACAAATATTTCTAGTCGGTAGTAAACAAACAGTATCTTCTGGTAAGTCCCTCAAACATTGTGTTATTTCCATTAACCTTCCTTTATTGGAATGCGAGAGCAGAGGTATCAATCGGTTAGACAGTATATCTCTGTCTGATTGAGTTGTCACTCCTACTCTGATTCTTTTTAACATTTCTACAAATGTAGAATCATCCAGCTGTCTCATATTCAACGTAAGTTTGTCGTAAGTAAAAAGTTCAGCCCATAAGTTTGGAATACTTAAGGAGCCTATAAGTTTATTAATTTCTGAAGGGGTTAGTTTTTCAAATGGCGACTTTTCTCTAACGGGTGGAAGTTGCAAAAGATCCCCAAGCACTAAAATATGTTTTTTTCCAAACCAACCATCTTCTACATCAGAAGTATCAAACACTTCGCATAAACGAAGATTTATGTAGGCTAAAGTTACATTAGATATCATAGACACTTCATCTATAATAAATAATTCGACAGTTTTTAAGTCTGTCCTTAAAACTTGAAGTACTTCGTCTGAAAGCGGTATGTATTTAGGAGTTTGTTTATGCTCTACGGGCAGTTGTAGTAATCTGTGAACAGTTAATCCGTTTACGTTAAATGCTGCAATTCCAGTCGGGGCAGTAATAGCAACATTTTTATGCAGGTTGTTTTTAATCCATATTTTTAAGGTTTTTATTAAATAGCTCTTGCCGGTGCCACCGGTGCCACTAACAAAATGTCGCAATATTTCTTTTTTGTTCGTAATTTTATTAGTGACTGTATCAAATACTTTTTTTTGATCAGAATTCAGTTTATCTATCATTGCTTGCTCATTCATTTCAGAAATATCCGCTTCAACTAAATCAAAGTTGTTTAAATCTTCCATAGCATTTACCGCTTCCAAAGCTTCAAACACTAAAGGATTGTCGGGGCCTTCATCTACTATGTTTTCCCTTTCTGCGTTTAGTTCTGCTACTTTTTCTTCTACCTTTTCAAAAGCTGTTTGTAAAATATTTCGTAATTCAGTCCGTAAATTTCCGTAGCGTAACGCTTCTTGTAAATCGTCCTTTACAGCATTAAATGTTTCTGTGTATGTCTCATGTTGCATTTTTAGGTCATCTAGTATTCTCCAAGGTTTAAATAATAACAACAAGGAAAAGAAATATTTTTCTGGCATTTGCTCTACATCATACAGGTAATGGTTAATTAGGTATGGTCTATCTCGTTTTTTTAAGTATTTTTTATTTGCTAAAACATAATACTCTACTTTATTTGAAACAGGCCGTGTATTAACTAAATCATAGTCTTTCGAAAAGTCAAATAGATTCATGTCTTGTAATTCGTCAGGTCTGGCAGGGTAAACGTTGTCTATCCAAGAATCGTAATATATGTCAGTGGAATTCGGGTCCAGTCCAGTCATTTCAGATTTCGATTTAACCCTGCGATTACGATGAATGTTTACGTCTAACCATCTTATTGTTGTTTGTGGGTCCGTGCCGTAAAGTGGTATTCCAAATAATGTATCGCTGGCTTCTAAAGCTCGGCATTCTCGATTCGCTAATACTCTGAGACCAATATTATATAACCGGCTTCTAAGACTTTTTGTAGAGTTAATATCGTTAAACATGTCGGTTGCATGGGTCTTTTCACTTTTAGTAGTATACTTGGTCACATAATAGTTCAAAATGGCTGTTTTCTCTCCAACATATTGAATGTCAATATTTCCATTCCACGCCAACAGCAAAGCGGGATTGTAGTCATTAATCATATCTGACTCCTTCGAGCGGACAATATTCTAGAGCCGATTATTAGAGCTGAGAGTTTTTCTTGCCGCTATAGATTGAAAAATGTCTCTTATGATAAGAGAATCCGTCACAGTTCGAGGAAATCCAAAACGGCAAACTGAAACGAATCCTTTTTTCGTTTTCTTTCTCCTCATGCAATAACTGTTATGTTTATGCATTTGATACGAAGTGACCCGTTGATGTAAAGTAGGAGAAATATCTTTTTTTGGAATGGCACATGTCACGTATTTAGAAATAAATGACGCTACCTCGTCTATAGATCACTTATGTAGAATAGGTGCATTCTTAACCCATAACATTAAATGGAAGTGCTGAGCACCCCTAGATTGGTACTCTCGACGCAAAAAGTAATGAATAATCTTACCTAAAGGCTCATCTGAACTAGTTATTAAGTCTAACATTGCATGAAACTTGTTATCTATAATACGTGAGGTAGATACGGGGTCAAGAGCAACCAATTCACTGATTGTTTTATTAGCCATTTTAACGCCATTTACTTGCCTGATGTACTCTCCCAAATCCTCCCACATCCACTCAGAGGGACTCATGGTAAGAAACCAAGTTGCTGGACCGTAATTTTGAGTCATACAATTTACATCGTTTCTTGGTTTCTTCCAGAACTGTTCGGTGTTTCTCAGTCGGCCAAATATTGCTGTCAAATCACCTTCCAGCTCATCATTTTTAAGCATTTAGAGATACCGTTCTACCGTAATTTTATCTCTCTGATTAGCACAATTCATTTTATAAAAGATTCCGGAGTTTAATTGGCGCATATTAGCATCATTCAATAAGAAAAATAGATACTGTTGGTTGAGTCTAAATTGAGGATGTTTTGACATAAGCCGGGCTTTAATAAATTCACTAGAAGTTACTTTCTGCTGCCGATTATGAAATTGGCCGTATTTTCCTTCTACATATAAATGTGGAAAACATTTAACGTCGAGGTCTTTATCTCGGGCATCAATCGGTGCTGTGTTTACTTTGAGCATTTGGTAGAGTTCTGAAGCTGGTGCATTTTGTCTCCGTTCATTCAAAGGATATATGGTGTAATGCTCATAATCAGTTTCCTTTTCTCTTGTGATTTGGGTCAACAGTGCTGCTGTACCATCTTCTAAAATGCCTTCTTCAGTATTATCTGGTGTATTTGTAACATTATGTTGAATATTTTCATGTATGTTTATGAGCTGGTTAGGTAAATCTGTTAATTTGATATAAGCATAATGTTCGTTTACATTTTTGAGGTATTGTAATGCTTTATACACTTTATTAACGTCAACAATGTCTTGCTATATAATATTTGCTTTGTTTGGCGTACTTCAGACTATAATATAAAGTTCTGGGTTTTCAATTATTGCGTCTTCAGGTTTTGGGAGTTTTTTTAGGGTTTCTTCCATCGGAAGTGGTAAATGAAAAGTCCTGCCCTTTACTTTTTTAACCATCTGACGATTGGGTAGACGTTTATTAGCCACAGGATTCATTGTAACAACCACCTGAAACGCTTTAGCGCGTTGGATTAAAATGTTTTCATAGTCGTTCAGCTGAGCTATTTCTGGTGGAACAGTGCTTACGTGCATGTCATTGAGGATACAGACAGCAGGCATTTGGTTAGCACGAATCTTAGCAAGGCATGTGTGGCATATGTACGGACTGTGAGTTATTAGGCTAGAATTATAGTAGTTCAGGAGCTGTTACCAAACATCTGTTGATATGGGCTTTCTTAATCGTTCTATGGAACTAATATCCCTAGAGTAACAAAGTTTATTGCACGACATACAATCCAGTTTCGGTGTGTCTACACTTTTTTTGGAAAATAATTTAAAAGCAACCTTATTACTTTTTATTATTTCATCTTCCACGATTTCACTATCAGGTGTACGCTCTACAACGGCACTTCCTACCGTCGGTTGCTTTCCTAGCTCCATAAGCTTATCCACATTACCAGTTGCCAAAGAATTGTCAATATCAAGCAATAACTTACAATCGCTGTGTATTTGATAAATCTCTCTGATAATAGTCCGAAGATGTGGGAAATGCGATTTAACGTTATTAATAAAGTTGACATTTTCTTGCAGTTTTCCTGTTTCTACAGACATCGAGTAAATTTGCGGAGTAGTTTGGAGGCTCAATACTTCGAAAATGTTTTTCAATTTTAGTAAGATTCCATCATTTAATACGCACAATGAATCCGAACAAGACCATGTCAGACTTTTGGACATTTTCTTAATATTTGTAAAGGTTTTTGCTTTGCCAGTATCATCAATCTCAATAGGTTTTTCTTTATCTTCATAAACCTTATAAGCTTGTTCAGAATAAAATGGCTCCTGATTACTGCGATGTTCGGATTTACCAAGAAATGCTTCAAATTTGTCTTTAATATCCGTGCTTTCAGGACATATTTTTAACTTCTCTAATGCCGCTACTATTTTTTCTTTTAATTTATTTGCAGTCTTGTTCAAATCTTCTAAAGTTCTTTGCCAATTATGGAGAGTCCACTTAACTATTTTTTCTGATTCTAATCTATCTTTAAGTTTAGTTGTAAGAACTCTAGTGATTGTTTCTATGTTTCCCTTAAACTTTAGTTTGTCAGTAGATCTCTTTCGCGCTAAGTTTTGTCTGTTTACTTCCGGATGTGAAGCACGGTAGCGAGATACTGCAGCCTGATTGACTTCCGGATGTGAAGCACTGTAGCGTGCTACAGCTGCCCGGTTTACTTCAGGGTGTGAAGCACTGTACTGTGCTACAGATGCCCGGTTGGCGCCTGGATGTAAAGAATTATAAAGTTCTACGGTTTCTCGACGTTTTTCAGGGTGTTTTTGTCGGTAACGAGCCGCGGCTTCTCGAAGTTGTTCAGATCGTGACAGTTCGGATACCTTAGGTCTTCCTTTTTTTGTTTTAGTCGGTCTACCGCCTATTCCCTTATGCTTCATGTTCACTTCACTTTGCGTAGAGTTTAAGTCATATAATGTACATATAGTAGTATCTGATGTTACAGAATTTAATGTTATGGGATGAAAGGGGGAAGAAGATGGAGAGGCATCTCGTATAGGAATGAGTACATCGTAGTGGCCGCTTAAGTAACTACCGGTAAAACGTAAACACTTTTTTTGGCCAGCATCGCCAAAGGAACCTCTTAGTATACCGTTCTCATACACTTCAAAAGTGAAAGGATAGATTTTTCCAGCAGCCATAAGCTCAGAAGCTGAGCCGTAAGTAGTGGGTTTCATCATATCGCTCATGTAGGATTGCGCGCTAGTGTATACGTCACCATCAGCATTACACGTGTACACTTGCATTTCGTCCCAATGGTCAGCAACGTATGCAACTATAGCAGATCTGATACTGCAAGTTGAGTCAGTTCTACCATACACTAAGAAAGATATTGAATGGAAGAGACAAGACCCATCTTTGGGCATACCAACTACTTGGTAGCCACTAAGTTCACCGTCGTCTTTTAATATTATCGACATTTTTTTACGATATTATCTTGCGAATCAAATAAATTCAACGACCTTTAGTATATGGACAACAAATCAGAAATACCGATAATATTTAGACTAATTTAGACTAAAACAATAAAAACCTATATCTTCAAGACTTCTTTTGTCTTAATACAAAAAAGAAAACTCAAAGAAAATATTGCTCGGTCTACTCATCTATAAACTATAAACAAAGGGTTAACTCTTAATTATTAGACAAGTGTCTAATAATTAAGGTTTAACCTGTGAACTTTCTACCAAAGATATTACCTCTACCTAGTATTGAAATACAACTAAATTAATGATATTTTTAAACGAAACGAAGTAATATCTAACTAAATAGACTTATCCTATAATACTAGAAAAGTACTTACTTACTATAAGGTTATCGCAAAAATAAAACGTCGGCGCGTTTTAAAATACAGTCAGCGCCATCTAGCGACGTGTGCAGTTATCACCGCCACTCTTAGTTCAATGCATTATATTTTGACCAAATTTTGAGCGAAATGAGTATTTTAGTGTAATTTGTTTATTTAATTTGATTAATGTTCGAATAGAATAAAGTTAATCGTTCGATTATTTTTTCTTGTAAACTTGTAAGTATAAGTATAAAAGCCAGTCTAGTGTCATCCAGAGTTTTCCTTTAATTTTATTTATATGCGTATTAAAAGCAGAAGGGGAGGCATTCGCCCAGCAGTGGGACGCTATAGGCTAGATTAAATTAGAAGATGTGTCCCACTACGCTGGATTTTTACAATGACAGTAGATTTTTTTATGTACTAATGGTAGAAGGGGGCATTACCATATCTCTAATACAGCTGGGACCAGTTGAAGGGTTTTCATCAGATACTTTAGACCTTCGATTTTTGACATCAAATAAAGCGGCCTACCAAGTTAAATATATTTTGCAAGGGCGGTATGTCATCTCGAGAAACCCCGAGCATTGCTCTCTCCATAGCTCGCTGAGCAACCTTGAGCTTCCTAATACGGCCAGCAGCGAAGGACCACATCTCAGTTCCATAAGTCATCACTGGCAGCACGATCTGGTTGTATAGTCTCGTTTTCAGGTTTTGAGGTATACCGGACGAGATGTGTCGTAATTTCCTGAACGCTGCCCAGCCGAGTTGAATCCGTCGATTGACCTCTCGGTCAAAGTTAGACTTACCTTGTCGGATTATTTGTCCCAGGTAAACATACTCGTCAACAGCTTCGAGCTTAGTGCTCATAACAATTACCGGCATAGGTGTAACATGGACGTTACACGTTGTCTTTGTTTTGTCCATGATCATCTTAAGACCTATCCGTTGGGAGGCACTATTGAGGCTGTGGCGGGTGGAAGGAAAAGGGGACATCTCCCGCCGGGCAATGAGTTTTGCCCGTGGAGCGGCCAACGCCCCGAGTGGTAGTTCGGAGCTATTCTATATATGTATACTGCTTTAACTTCGGAACTTTGTTAGCGCGACTACAAGGCAATCCCTGGCACTTGCTCCGGCTCATCGTTCTCACCGGCATCACTTGCAAGTGCATAATACGGCATGCATTACACACTGGCATATCGTTCGCACCGGCGTCACTTGCCCTTACGCACACAGCAGGCATTCTCCACCAGCATTAAGGACGTACTGGCAATCGGACTGCACTATCGACCTCCGGTCTGAGCAGGGTTGAGAAGAAGGCAAGTAATCTGCGAGAGTTCCGTGAAGCAGAGGCGAGCAGTAAGGCTCAGAGCCGTGCCGAACACTGTAGCGCAGAGAGTAGCTTGAAGGAACAGGAAGCATTATTATTCCAATGCTGCGATGAACCTTTGTAAAGCTGGATGGCTTGCAGAATGTGAAGACTGCAGACAATATCTGCTCGTGAGCGAATGAGTGGGGTACTTGAGGATGATGACGAAGATTTGAAGTTGTAGTTTCCGAAGGTAGTTGGTTATGTGTTCATATTACGTCGGGGTCACCACTGTGGCGGGTGGAAGGAAAAGGGGAGATCTCCCGCCGGGCAAGGTGTTCTGCCCGGCGAGCGGCCAACGCTCCGAGTGGTAGTTCGGAGCTAATTTATATATACTGCTTTAACTTCGAAACTTTGTTAGCGCGATTTAGGCTTCAATTAGTTTCGCTTGTGGCACGACGACAGCGCCGCCACAAGGTCATTGAGCATAGTGCTTAGGTCCTCCAGCGATTCCGCCGTAAATTCTATATCGTCGGCAAATCGAAGGTGGGTGATGTAATCGCCATTGATGTTAATACCGTATCCTTTCCAGTCCAGTAACTTGAAAACGTCTTCCAATGCAGCGGTGAAGAGTTTCGGGGATGTAACGTCACCCTGTCTTACACCTCTCTGCAGCTGGATTGGTTTCATACTCTGGTTCTGTACTCAGATAGCTATCGTAGCCCTACTATATAAACACTTTAGCACTTAGATGTACTGACAGTCAACTTGGCACCGCTGAAAGACTGAAGCATTGCCCAAATTTCGACGGAATCAAAGGCTTTCTCATAGTCCACATGCGCCAGACATAGTGGCAAATTGTAGTCTTGGGTCTTCTGTACAATTTGCTTAAGGGTATGTATGTGGTCTATGGGGCTAAATCCTTTTCGGAAACATGCGTGTTCGGGAGGTTGGTAGTTGTCTGCCAACTGCGATGCTGCTGCGTGCGAGACGATTCTTAATGACTCTCGAAAACAGCATGTAGACGCAGCACAGAAGGGAAATTGGTATGTATTTCTTCAAGAGAGTGTTGTCGCCTTTCTGGAAGAACAAGACCACTGCTCTTCTGCTCCACGCCCCCGGTGTAGTGCCACCAGGAGGACGGAATTAAAGAGCCTCTGAAGGACTTCAAGTACCAGTTTTCCACCCGCTTTCAGAGGTAATTCCATAAGAGTAATTCCATCTTCGTCCGGGGGCTTGTCGTTTTTAAGGTTCTGGAGAGCCATTCTAATCTCGCTCAGACTGACGTCCGGGATGTCATCGGAATAGTGTCGGATAAGACTTGCTCTTGGATGGTTACTCACATTTGCGTGTGGCTCCAACGATGGTGTGTATTATTTAAAATAAAAAATATAAGTATCCATAGTGTGATCATCATAATCAAAATGGGCAAATGGACTCATAACGGGGATAATTGGCGTAGTTGCCACGTTTGATAAGCAGGTTGACTACCGCAGATTTTCGTTATATTGAGTTGTTAAAATAAAATTGGAGTCTTCTTAAAATAGTTCAACCATTATGATACATTATCCCACAGGCTCAACGGAAAAGCTGTTTTAAATAAATCCCGCTTCATAAACTAAGAGCTAAATCATCTTCTTTGTTACACTGCAATTCGTAAACTCAATCCTCAAAAGTAGTAAACCTTCCCGCTTTTAGTCCCCAAAGACCCTTTATTTACATTAGGCTTAAAGATAAATTATGGCTAGAGTTTTCTCTGAAAACTAAATTTTTCTGTAAAATGTCGTCCTTTCGAATATAAGTGTTATTTAAAAATGCAGCTTAATAAAATTAAAAGCACGTATTTGTTGGACACCACACGAGATGCTGCTATATTGTTCCATTAAAATATGTGATTCAGTTTCCATCCATACTAATACAGTGTATCCCTCGTTAAAGTGCAACCCCGAAAGGGGGTGAAACTAGACTATAAATTATCGACAAAAAATTTACAAAAAAATAAATAAATATATATATTTTACTTTTTAGTAACGAATTAAGATTTTCATATCTTATGAAGAATCTATGTACAAAAAATAACGATTTCTTCCAAAGTAGTGGGTCGATTGCTTTAAAATAAAAAAGAAAATATTATGCCACATACTTGGCGGTGAGTATAAAATAACAATTAGCTCGCAAAAAGAGGCATCATGACATTAACTTTGCTTTTGTGTTAAAATTTCCATATAGAAGTGAAATTTTTTACGGGAGGGCTTTAAAATTCTGATCCGCAACCTTTTTGTGTGAAGAAAAGTGGTGGGGGTGAAAACTACGTACCGTGTCATTCAGATCGCCCATTCAAATCGCAAACGCAGATCATTATATACCATAAAGTATATAGTAATAAAATTACAATTACAAGATTATAACGGTATTTCGTTCAAATACTAATCTATTAATTTTACCAGTGACAGTTACCAAAGTACACGTATTTATTTTAGAAAGATTGATCGAGTTTGAGTAATAGCGTCATCTACTACATTTTCTACGTACGCCGTGATAGTTGATCAATTTTGGTTGGATAAAATGACTTTATGCCATCAAAAACATAACTTGTAAAAAAACCAAGTCTCGCAACTCATCTACTGTAAAAAGTTGTGAGATCCATGTAATACCAAGTCGGTTAATTTATTCAGTCCCTACTTAAGGGTCCTTCTGTCTCAAGTTATTACGTAATTAGCTAACCTAAATAAATGAATGAAAATGAATAGTGACCATATCAATAGATACTGTGGGGTAGTGAGTTAGCCAGTCGCTCCAATATTCTCCCTGCTGCTACGTGTCACCACTACTAGTGTCCTGTGCGTTGAGTTTCCGTTACTTTATTTTGGTTTTGTTCTGTTTTTGTTACGTTTTTGACTATATTTTGTTGTGAATCGTTGAGATGCCGCGATTTACCGAGTTCTCTCCGCGAGAAATCGCTGACATCCGTTATTATTGTAGAATGTCATGTGGACGCACAACAGTCGCTTGTTCTGCGTACATCAATGCATTTTGGGGAAGACTTATACCGTCAGAACGAAATTTTCAAAAACTTCACCGGAAATTATCCAAAATCGGACTTGAATTAGCACATGATCACCGTGAACAACAAGCTGTTATTATTGACAATTCAAAAGAGGCAGTTTTAAATGTATTGTTTGCTGATCCTACAATCAGCATTAGATACTTGGCGTTGCGTCACGGTTTATCAAATACATCGTTATGGCGAATTTTAAGAAAGGAGGGGTTGCATCCATACCATTACCAGCGAGTCCAGCACTTGCATGAAAATATAAAGCAGATTC